TTTTTTTGCTCTATGGTACATCATCTTTAATTTAATAGCATTAGAGCTGCTCCATTGCAGCGGGTTAATGCAGGGAACCACTCGCTATAAATCTCCTAACTGTGATAGAAGTCACGTTTTTTCATCTGAAACGTGCTGCGATTTATATTCCTCTGTCTCTCTCTCTCTCTCTCTCTCTCCCTCTCTCTCTAACTTTCTCTCTCTCTCTCTCTCGCGCTCTCTCTCTCTCGCTCTCTCTCTCTCTCGCGCTCTCTCTCGCTCTCTCTCGCGCTCTCTCTCTCTATCTCTCTCTCTCACGCTCTCTCTCTCTCTCTCTCTCTCTCTCGCGCTCTCTCTCTCTCGCTCTCGCTCTCTGTCTCTCTCTCGCTCTCTCGCTCTCTCTCTCCCTCCCTCCCGACCGAACTACACACTTTCCAGTGATGTCTGTGAGAAAGATATATTCACTCGACAAGCTCGCGCATCTGCGCCGCCGTGCGCTCAATCCACTCAGCGTGCTTTGTTTATCAGCTCGCGCACATCAGCTATACAGGCCCACATCAGTATCGGGCCCGATACCGATACCAGTATATTTGGGTGAACTATGTATAGCATTTCTGTAAGGACATTCCTGAGATGAAAACTCAAAAATGTTGTGAAATCTAAAGGCCTTTTCACACTGAACACAAAAATTTGGCGCAAATGTTTGGCACGATAATCCTTTTGAATCTAAACAATAGATCCCTATGGGGCTATTCACACCAGGCGTAATCATTCGCGGTGCGAAAAAACAAGGATTTTTTTTCATCATGTCTCAATTTTTTTGCCCCGGTGCTCTACGAGGAAACAGGCCGTCCAATTAGATTTGAACTTAGATCACATGCCCGGAGCAGCTGCTGTTGCACAACTATAGATCACAAACGGAAGTTATTACAAGCACTCAATGATGGTTTAAAGTGGGTTTTAAGCAAATACCTTAATAATTAGGCATAAATGTATATTTACCTTAATTTAATGCTGTATATTGAGCAGCGGACGATGTTAACGCCATAAACGAGATACATAACTGAGGAAAAATGCATTGTTGGTCGGCGCCACCTAGTGTGCAGGCGTGAATTAGCAGAAGGCGATCAATCGTTTCGCGCTCAGTGTGAAAGCTCCATTCGTCGGTGATTCACCTCGCTTTTTTGCGCTCAGTGTGAAACAGTCTTAAGGCAGAACATGGAAATTCAGCACACTCACCAGATGAACGTAAGGCACGAAGTATCCGTACAGGGCCGCAGGGATCCCAAAGGCCCATATGCGGTATCCCAGAGACCTCCAGATGTGCATGTTAAACACCCTCTTGAGTGAGGGAAAGCGGCTGCCCGACTTGCTGCTGCTGAGGGGTTTGGGCAGCAGGGGTTTGTAGGTGAATCCCGCCAGCATGAGCATGAACATGAAGACGCTCAGCACACGCAGCGTGTAGGCGAGTCCCACGCGCTTCAGCAGGCCGGTCAGCATGTAGGGGAGCGTGATGGTGAATACGCTGCTGCCCGCCGTCACAATGCCGTTCACCAGGCCCAGCCTCCGCTTGAAATAGTGACCCAGGATCACCAGACTCGGCTGATATGCAAAACTGCAGCCACACGCAAAGACTATGCCGTAGGTGAAGTACATTGGCCCGAGAGACCTGCAGAGAATAACGATTGGACTGCGTTAACTTTAAAGGCACATTATAAATCAAATTAAATACTACTAGTAATGCAATTCAAAGCACAATTGTGAAATTTCTCCTGACAGTTTTTGTGCTATCAAAATTCTTCCTCGTCTCTCAGTTTAATGTTGACTGTAAATCAGTGATTAATAGATTGATTCTGCTGAAGAGTGAACCACTGCAACTCCGTGATGCTTTTAAAACATTCATCTATTTCTCTGACCAATGGCTAATAGAAAAAACTTTTTTTTCAGTTCAGTTCTGGTGATGCTAGTGGCGCAAAAATGAAATACGTTAGCTTTAATGTCAGGAGTGTAACCGTATGATTGCTTTGTGTTCAGCTAAACTCCATTTAGAGCTAGTTTTGGTCTCCAGTTCAGCAGACTGCAACATGTATTTAGTGCAGTGTATTTAAGTACAGGTAATTGTTTGTTAATCTTCAGTATTTAGAGAAACAATAAACAACAACTTGTCGCTGATCGTCTCAAACAGTCATACAAAGTGCGTTAAGTAATCAGATTACTTTTTAATGAAACGAGTACCCAAGTCATTACTGTTGTATTAATTTAATATCCTTACTGATAGTTGAAAGCCTTCAGAAACATCTTGAGAAGAGAAGAGAAGAGAAGAGAAGAGAAGAGAAGAGAAGAGGGCCAAGTACAGAGCCTAGTGGGACCCCAGTGTCAGACTAAAGGAGTACAATCTTGTATGTTTCAATTTAATCAACTGAACTTTGGGTTCTTTAGGAACAGGAAAAACAGTGTCTTAAAGGACTGAGTAAGATGAGAAGACATCTCCACAGTCCTTCAAATCATGCGTCAGAATAAAAACATTATATTGTCAGGTGTTCTGGATGATCTCCACATCTATACTCCATCCACTGCTTACAGACAAAACCATTCCCTTTTGACAGCGAACATAAAATCACACAGGAAGGATAGTTGAGTATAAAAACAGATGGGCCACAGCAACTAGAAAGCAATCATTTTATGCAGTTTACAGTCCATTGGCTAAGCACTAGTAAGTACACTCGGTAGTGAAGGATGGTCATTACCACCTATTTCCAGTTACAGGTAATATAAGCATTAATTGAACTGCTTAGCAAGAAATAAAAAAAAAACTCTATCTAAAACCTGAGGTGAATGTAATGTACTTACGTGACGAAGGAACTGCCCAGAAGTCCCACAAACGCCACCGCTGCCCCTCCGACTGCTGTAATCCGGCAGCCAAACAGATCGGTGAACACACTGACGATCGGTGAGAAGAAGAAGATCATACCCATTGAGAGAGAGCCGACCCATGCTACACACAACACACACACACACACACATACACACACACACACACACACACACACACAGAGAGAGTTCATTTATATAAAGCCAGCAGTCTAAGTAAATTAAACTTCCATTAGATACATTTAAATGTGTTTAAATGTGTGTGATAACAAACAACTCATTATATAATGCTGTTTTAAAGATCTACATAAAAAAACAACAATACAGACCAGATCGAGTCAAATGACAGAGCGCACCAGTATCCATCAATCCAAATAAAACAAGAAAATAATAAAATGGGATGAAGCATTTTTCATTTGTAAAGCAATTCATGCACTGGATTATACAAAATGAGCATTATTATTTCCAGCATGAAATAGCTAACTGTTAAATGATTCATACTGTGCCACTGTATTTCAGCACAGTTCTCACAGGATACTGCGTCTGTAATTTATTCTTATCACACAAACAAACATTATTAGAGAGAAAGATCCTACACACAGACACAGAAATGTTAATCTAACACACCACAGACTTACATTATATTTCTGTGGCATGACATACACTGGTTTTACTACAGGACTGAGATTTTTCATTAAACATCAAGGGGAGAGAAAGCTGTTGTACAAAAGTTCATTAAATGTCCTTAATCAAGCTTTGAAATGTATTAGCATGAACTGGATCACGTGAGTTTGCAGTAAAAAACAGCCGTGTTTCAGTCTGACACGTGAGCCTGACATACATTACCGTCCTTCATGCTGCAGTTTCACAAAGGAAGTCAAAGTGATCATGTGATGATCTGGGTTATGGAGTGAGTCTCTCTCCGACAGAAACACACACACACACACGTCCATCTAACTTCCCTAAAGAACACCACATATGACACTCATGAAGGCATCCTATTTATTATACTTTATTTCACCAAAACGATCCTGAATCTGAGTCTGTGTATGAAAAAGCTTTTTTAGGAAATAAATAAATAATATTAATATTTATAATAAGACAAGAACCAGCTGTGTTTGGCATCACTGTCAGACACAGTGTGGTGCAGCTTTATCATGGCCTGTAATTGAATTCATATTAATGTCACACAAAATCTTCATGAAGACTGGAAAAGAAAGAAAGAAAGAAAGAAAGAAAGAAAGAAGAAATGAAAGAAAAAAGAGAGCAAAAATGAATAAAGAAACATGCAAAAGAAAGAAGGAACGAGTGAATGGTAAGGAGAAGAACAGAGGGATTGAGTCTGTGACCCTCGAGCTACAGCAGCCTGACATGTGTGACTCTCTCCAGCATCAGCGAGGAGGACCTGAGTGAAACCACGGCGTGTGTCCAGTCTGTAATGATTCCTCACACACTGCAGTATCAGAGATGCTGGAAACACACTGTTAGCACAGCAAACAAACACACTCCCATCCGTCCGTCCCTGATCAAACACACCGGAGCGGACGGACGACAGACGGATCAAACACACGGCCTGATCGAACTCACTCAGTCTGACTGACTGTGACTAGCGACTATCTGATGTTGCAAAGTTAATGTCGCTATTCATCTGAATTCAGTTCAAGTGCTGTTTTCATCATTGTATTTACAGTTAAGCAGAAAATATTACTGAATATTAAACCCCAACTACATGCCATCATGAAGTCCAGACCGTACTGCTGCAAAAACACTGTTGATTTTAAAGGAATATTCCAGCTGAGACAAATAAAGCTCTACTGACTTCTGTATCAGCTGAAGCAATTCAATTACTTTAAATTTAACTGAGTCGATTAATTAAAAAAAATGATGTGAATGACATATCTGGATTGCAAGAACTGAAAATACAAAGAATACAATTAATTATTACTCTCAAATGAGTAGAAAGACTAAGATGTTTGGCAATAGATCAGGAGTGACTTCTGTTCACACTGGATCTAATAAGGACTGTATGAACATTAACTGAAGTCAGTCCACTTCTCTGACCTCACTTTGATAATACTAGCGAAACGACTGTGAAATTGGTGCTACGCAGCTAGAGAAAACAGAAAAAGTGCTTGATGTTCACTTTAGCAACAAGAAAAGTGTTGCCTGCAGCACAATGACAAACAACCCAGTGTTCCAGTATCACTGAGAGATTTCAGTTAACATTGATTTTTAAGTAATGGAAAACTTTTTTCATGGTTTTATGGTTTATTTTTAGTTAACTATAAAAGTGTAAAAAACAAAACTTTCGTATCACATCTTTAAGGATTTAATCTTTATTCAAAATGTCTGTCATCCTTTCATATATGTGACCCTGGATCACAAAAGCAGTGTTAAGTCGCTGGGGTATATTTGTAGCAATAGCCAACAATACATTGTATGGGTCAAAATTGGGTCAAAATGGGTCGCTAGTGAGCGACGCCTCGTGGTACCATCACAGAGAGGCTCAAAATCACTTTCCAGAACATTCTCGTTCACCACTCCTGGCTGGTGGAACGATCTTCCCACCCCTATCCGGAATGCTGAATCCCTGACAATTTTCAAGCGACAGCTGAAAACCCATCTCTTTCGAAGCTACTTGACTTCATCATAAAAAAAAATAAAAAATAAAAAAAAATCTCTCTCTTTATTTATTCCTTCTCTTTCTAGCTTGTACTTATTTGAACAATGTCTAAGAACTTGGTATTACAACCACTTCCTGTGTCTGTTTGCCTCTTTAAGAAGAATCGCTTTATGTATCCCCCAATTGTAAGTCGCTTTGGATAAAAGCGTCTGCTAAATGACTAAATGTAAATGTAAAATTATAGATTTTTCTTTTATGCCAAAAATCATTAGGATATTAAATACTGTACTACTGTAAATATATCAAAACTTAATTTTTGATTAGTAATATGAATTGCTAAGATCTTCATTTGGACAACTTTAAAGATGATTTTCTCAATATTTAGATTTTTTTGCACCCTCAGATTCCAGATTTTGAAATATTGTTCTATCCTAACAAACCATACATCAATGGACAGATTATTTATTCAGCTTTCAGATGATGTATAAATCTCAATTTCGAAAACTTGACCCTTATGACTGGTTTTGTGGGCCAGGGTCACATATGTGCCCACAAACATCACACAGAACTTACAGCGACTGTGATTAAAGTGAGACACACAGCATCTGTACAGACAGTCACTCGAGTTCTCATTCTTCTCCTTCATAGCGGAGCATGAACACGACCGTATGCAGCGCTTCATCCTCAGACAGTTCATGTTGTGTTGGGTGTTTACTCTGGATCATGGAAACATTAAACTATGGAAGAAAAACCTTTGCTGTCTCCTCACACAGAGTTATGTCCTCCTGTTCCTGAAAACCAGCTTCCCGAGAGCCACAAATAAGCATGAAGTCTCCAAACACTTGACTGCGTGACGTGAAGAGCGGATTGAGATCCATTCCACTTCCTGTTTCTGTGTTGTGTGTGATTAGATCCATCAGCGAGCGACACTCCCGGGACCGAGAGTCAAGAGTTCAGCAGCGGCCGATAAACCAGCTCATCTGCTGCTCTCTGAACGTTACGCAGTGAAAACACAGCATCTCCTGTCTGCTTATTCCAGCTGTCTCATCAGAGAGGTCTGTAAACGGGACGCCAGTGATTTCTGACAGGAAATGATGCGCTGAGCACACAGGCTCTGGTGAACGTGATTTATATCATTCCGATCAACCAATCAGAATTGAGGGATACGTTTTCAAGAAATGTCAGTTTTAGGCTTACAATCAGGGTTAGATGCTTCTATACCCTTGTTATTCACCTATCATTTCCCTCTGATTTTAAGAATAAATTATGGGTAGGGTTAGGTTTAGGGGTAGGGACTATATTTTTGGACAGTAATGTTGATCCAGGAACATGTCTTGGCAAAATCACAGCGACCCACAGATAGATATAGATAGATATAAACTGTCTTGTCAAAGTCTGAAATTTATATATATATATATATATCAGGCTCTGGATCAGACTCTCACACAGAGAAACCTGCGCCGGTGTCAGATTCACAAACACTGATATTAATGACCATAAAGCTGAAGATTATCACTTGAGATGATAAGATTGTGGACGTTATCATAAAGTCCAGAGTGTGTCGATCTGTATTTATGCTGACAAACGTGAGTTTTACAGGACAAGGTTCTTCAGTGCTCAATGAAATCAGCCTTATTTCTCCAAAATTCCATTTAATATTTTCCCAAATTAATTTTTTCCATTTTCATTTTTCTGGATTCTGTTTTAATTAAACCTTAATAATCAAAAAGCATGTCTCCTCTGATTAATACAATTTTTCATAAAACAAAATGTAAGAATTTATTAAAATGTTACCAGTAATCTATGCTTAGAAATGTGTCTTAATCTTTCAGAAATTCTGTGTTGTCTGTTTTCATGTTTCTGGATTTGATTTAATTTATCATTTAATTCAATCAAAGAAGGTGGTAATCAAATTAATGTATACAACTTTAAAAATTTAACTCATCTCTTAAAATGCAATCAAATTAAATTTTAACAATTCCTTTTTACTTTATTTTATTTTTTGGTAAAGTGCTGCACAACAGAGACATGAAGTGTGTGATATTCTTTAAAATAATGTTTTTAATAAACTGTATTATTACTATCATTCTTTTGAGAAGGAGATTCTACTGCGGTAAGATATACAGTAATAGATTTCTGAAGTTGAACTGTATGAGTGTGTTCTGTGATTGAGTCTGTGTTTGTCACATCACAGAAATCAGAGTTACACAGAGCTCAGGTGAATGTAACGTCAGGAGACTCCACTGAAGCAGCTCTTCCACACTATAAATCACTGCCACTATAAACATCAGCCAGACGCTCGTCTCTGGCCATTGTGCTGCGTGCGTGTCGTCCAGCACAAGTGTTTTTAAGATGGCGTGCTAAAGTTAAAAATAGTCACGCTTTTAAAGAGACGTCTGGAGACCCCGTCCCATCTGCACAGGACTGCTTCAGACTTCTGTGAGGACAATATCAATCACCGCATTCTGATCAATCAATATCCACTCTTAAATCTCAAGATCAATCTTTTTGTCTGTGCTGTTACCGGTTCATACGTAAACTTCACGCAGCATTATTTGTATCGCGCCTCCC